ATATTCTCAAAGGAATGTTTAGTTCTGATCTGAACTAGTAAAAGTGAAAAACCTGTTTCTAAATGAAACATGTTTATAGAGGGTGTAAAAAAAGACACCCTATCGTGGATATTTTCAATCGTCCAATCTCAGTTTAATATTATAATTGTTCTTTTAATTGAGGTTAACGTGCACCCTACTTTAAACAAATTGTTGTATATTAAAAAACGTACAAATTATCCACTTCGTTTATTTATTTGTACAACTGTACAGATCATTGTCTTCGGATGATACTTCATATTGATATAATACATACAAAACCCTCTAGGGAACTAAATGTCTAGTTAACTGGTGTATTTTGACTAATAAAAAGTTATATTTAAAGGAATGTAAATGTTTGTTAGTCGATATCATTATCCTTGATTTTTTTCTTTGCTAAGATTTCAGACTTTATTTTGCTGATATATTGACATAATATTCCATTTTACAAATTGGCTGGGCAAAAATTCATACTCGGAAGTGCCATATTTTATGTACTAAACAATTTAGGTAATTAACAAGCAATGGAAGAGCTAAAAGAATAAGTTTTAAAACAACCCTGTGCTGGACATATGTGTTTTTTATTTAATTTTTTGAACAAGTGTGATTACGTTGTCTGTAACGCATTTTATCTACGTTTTTATTAAAACTTAATTCAACTTTAAATCAAAACTCAATTATAACATCACGTAATTATCTGTATCTCAGTATCAGTTCTTCTAAGTACACAAAGGTGAAAAACAGAAAAAAAAAGCCACTAAAAGTCATAAAATTACTTTAGGTAATGTACATACCTACACCACTAAAAGTTATAGTATTACTGTATGTGATGTATATACCTACAACACTAATAAAATATAGTATTACTGTATGTAATGTATATACCTACAACACTAGAAACTATAGTATTACTGTATGTAATGTATATACTTACAACACTAAAAGCTATAGTATTACTGTATGTAATGTATATATACTTTCAAGATTCTATTGATACTTCGACTCGTTTAGAATCATTCAATACGAAAGAGTGACTGGAATTGCTTATACGTGCACAGTTGTTCTCCTATATAGTAACGTAAGCTCCTCATTCATAGAGATAGCTGAACTGATTTGTGTGAAACCGTCATTTTTCAGACCATAAAATGTCCGTTTGTAATATGGAATAGGTCACATTCTGCCATTACATACATATTGTACACTCTCCACATTTGAAAACAAAACTTTATAAAACACAAATTTAACTGTAGATTAATTTGGGTCGTGAAACTGATTATTTAGAAACTATCTCTAGTTTTGGTTTTATGAAATACATTGCGCTGACTGCAACTAATATTTTGGACGCGGTATTGGGCTACCTGATTTGAGTACAAGTTCCTGTCATATTCTCTTTCACAAAAAGTTTGACAGCCTAAATGAATAGACATTCTAAACCCTTAAATTCTTTCCTTGCCAATTCATCCAAAAACCTGTCAATATCGTTTCCTTGTCTGTTGAATGACGAAATCTTGCAGGATAAATAATGAAAAGTGACGCTTGGCTGAATGGCTGACAGCTTGAAGTTCTTAAATGGAAAATGCTGCCTCAGAAGTTTTCTAAAGAATAATACTCGGAAACCACAGTTTTATTGCTTACAAAAGTCAGTTTCACACACTGTGGTTAAACAACAAAATTAAGACGAGAAAAACAAGAAAGGAAGTTTCTTAAGTTTTAAGCTTCACATCTGTTTTATCGTACAGTTAAAAAATGAACACTTACATGATAGCTAATGTTTTTATAGATATATTAATATTTGTTCTAACACCACTTCTTTCTTTCTCCTGCAAATAAGGAGATTTAAAATTGATAAATAAGATATTTTTACACTCTTTGTATTATTAAATTTGTCGTAAGTTTTATGAAAGAGAAAGTGGTGTTTGACCTTTTAAGTAATTAAATTTTTCTAATGTATTAAAACAACTGTTAAGATTAGATTGTGTGATACAGCATTACAACAGAACTAGTCTGTTTTAAAAATAAAATAAACGGGTTGAAATAACATACGAATTGAATATCGAAAAAAAAATTCAATTTTAACAACATTATAGCCAAATAAACTGATTTGAGAGCAAAGCAAGCAGACGTATTGACAGCAAACAACAATAAAATTCCTGAGTTGTCCTTGAGAGAAATATATTTGGTAAATGATTTTGTTTGGTTGAGTAGCACTGAACAAGAAAATTGAAACAAATATTCTGAAATAACTATAGATAATATTTCTGTCTTATATTCATTGCATGGGCAGATTCCTGTTGATCAATAACTCAATCAGATTTTGATCCACGATTCACATTTAGTGAGTAAGCTTTCAACTTCTCTCTTGGAGTCATTTTATGAGACTGATATGTAATATGAATAAAGTACAAAACTTGTATATACATACAACTTGTTTACAAAATAATAATAATACACTTGTAATTACAATAACATTAAGATATACAGCATTGTACACAATTGCAACAGCAAAGAAACATTTAAAAATACTGTAACGTGTCACTAAATGTAATTACACAATAATTTAAAATTCCAAAACAGTTAAAACAGGTTGACGTAGAAAAAGGATATTAAATGTAGACAATAATTGGTATGAATATACGTGAATCTATTGAAATAATTAAATGTAAAAAAAGTAAATTTAAATTATTGAATAAGAATGATGGACCTGATGGTAATGTTGTCAGTAGATGGCGTGAAATTCTTTAATATATAAATTGGTGATTTGATAATTGTATAAATAAGTGTTATTTTTTTGCAAAACATTACACTCCTGAGGATGACGTAAGATATATGTCGAAACATATAGAGTGTATGAGATTGTTTTCCAGTCACATCGGGTTTGTTTTACCACTTTTTAACTTGTACAGTAAGTTATTATTTTAGTAATTTGGAAACTGGGAACAATCTCATTTTTATTGAATTGTGTATAAAATAATCGTTGTTTTTTTAAGTGTTTTTAATTTGTAATATTTGGTGATTTGTTTGATTCTGGTAAATTTGTTTATAGGGTATGATTTGTTCAATTATAATTTTACAATATATTTTTGTTACGCTGTTTATTTTTGAACATGAGGTGTAACTGACTGACTTTAGTTTGTTCTACGGTGGGCCAGTTCTAGGATTATGGACTTAGAATGCTAAAACCCAGGATTCGACTTCCGCAGTAGGCAAATAGCCCATAGGATAGTTTTTTGATAAAAACAAAGAAATGAAACAAAATAGATACTTTATTTTCTTGAAAGTTTCAAGATATGGAATAGAGTTATTGTATTGGTGAAATGGTTTGTTGTTGTTGTTCTATTACAAAGCTACACAATGGGCTCTCTATGCTCTGTTCACATCGACCCTAGGATTTGTGATGTTTTAAGTCTACCAACTTACTACTGACCCACAGGGTGACATTATTAACGAAAAAAGACTGATACAAAATTATATGTTTATACATTTGTGAACCCTAACATTCAAGCACTGTAATTTCAGAATCACTCTGTCGATACAAATTAATATCAATGCACACTCACTAACTAAGAGTCCATTATCAATATATATATTTTATAGTATTCATTATGGAGGAGGAAGCTCGTATAGCACCAGTGATAAATTTTTAATTCATATACAGTTGTGGTTTTCTATTCACTTTAGTTTGTCAATATTCATTTAACAGTTTTAATCTATGAATTTAGAGTTCTTCTCCATCTGGTTGGACATGAATAAATTCTGTGAAGCAATTATATTTTCGTCTCTTTACAGTAAGAAAATAACATAATTTTAAGATACCTATGTTTATTCCACATTTATCATATTTTTATGCCTGATTTTCTATTTGATATGATATTAATTAAGGTGATGTTAAGTTACATAATTTTATTACCATATTCCATAATTACACAATTATTACATAAAACAAATTTTAGATACAAGTTTTAGCTAGCAAAAAAGTTTAGAAATTACATGCGTTTTGTATAATAGGTTTTATAATGAACCATATAAACCATTTTTGTTTTAATAGGCTGATTTATTGAAATACATTTTCATGACAGAGTATAAGTAAGGAAAATGAATTATCTTTGCATTCTTCTTTTGTTATTTATTTCTTTTAGAGCATATTGACTTGAACTTTGAGGGAAATTCACTTCATGAAAATACTAAAGTAGATATCAGTATACCTATTACACACAGTCAGTTTTGTTACTTTTATATATACTCTGTTTGAATGGGCCTAACATTTCCTATAGGCGATGCAAATAATCTTTAATTTTGTTTTCTTGTTTTGCGACACAGTCAAACAAAAATTAGATAGTCATTGATCAGAAATATATTAAACCATGCGTATGTAAAACATTGCTTACATTTTACCAATATAATTATTTTCGCCCTTCAGTGGTTCAACGTTAAGCTTTAGAGCTTATAAACTAAGATTCGAAGTTCTATCCCTATGATTGGCACTGCTAAGATAGCACATTATGCAGCACCGTTGTTATTTGATCTATAATGAACACTATTGTGCACTCAATCATCGGTGAAAGCTACAATAAAGTTAAAAATCACCCTAGAAATATATTGGTGCAAGTAATAGACCTGATTCAAAATCAGTTCTGTCTCTTCAAAATATTTAATACAAATAAACATAAAAAATCATCAATGTTAAACGAATGCTTAACACATTTCTACAATATATTTATTATAAGGCGATATTTAAATGCAACTCAACTTCTCAATAATAAACTTGACAATCATTAGCTTAGAAAAAAAGGTAAAACAAGGCATTGTCATATACATGATCGAAAAATACGAATAAAGTCTGATATAATAATAATAATATATTTTATATAAGTATTTTCAGCTGGTGAACTCCATAATTATGAAAGATGTGAAATAGTTTTTAAATGTGCATGATCACATTAAGGTCTGTCTGTATCAAGCCTTTTGGTTTTTATTAATATCAGGTATCCTGGATTCGAAGAAAAGATTTTCATATTCTGACGGTAGGGACCGACACTTACATCAGTGACTATCGTTTTCAAACCGTCCGAATAAGCCATGATAACGACTGGGTTTTGCAGATGAGGTTCGCACAGTTAAAAGATGGAGGTATCTACGAATGCCAAGTGAGCACCGACCCGAAAATTAGCTTTTTTGTAAACCTGACAGTCCTAGGTAACTGTATATAAATATTCATGTCTATTTGTTGATTAAATGTCTAGAGTTGTTTTAGTCTTTGATATTCATAATTATAAAAAGAACTTTTCTTGAGAGTATCTTTTCTTTGGCATTGAAGTTTTAAAATTTTAGTAGTTATATTGAATCCAATATCCTCAAATTGCTTTAAAAACACATGCATGTTTCTGATATTCGGGCTGCTCAGAGAGCTAGTGTGAAAGGTTTAATGTTGCTAATGAGAAGAAGTAGGCGATCGTTTTACATGCGAAATGTTGAACTATTCTAGATGAGCTATTTTAAATCATTGATAGTTTCATTAAAGAAAAAGAAGTTGGCATCAGAAAAGAAACCCAATAACCCTAGTGTTTGTGCAAATACCACCTCCATAGATAGTTTCATTAAAGAAAGAGAAGTTGGCATCAGAAAAGAAACCCAATAACCCTAGTGTGTGTGCAAATACCACCTCCATAGATAGTTCCATTAAAGAAAGAGAAGTTGGCATCAGAAAAGAAACCCAATAACCCTAGTGTGTGTGCAAATACCACCTCCATAGATAGTTCCATTAAAGAAAGAGAAGTTGGCATCAGAAAAGAAACCCAATAACCCTAGTGTTGGTGCAAATACCACCTCCATAGATAGTTCCATTATAGAAAGAGAAGTTGGCATCAGAAAATAAACCCAATAACCCTAGTGTATGTGCAAATACCACCTCCATAGATAGTTCCATTAAAGAAAGAGAAGTTGGCATCAGAAAAGAAACCCAATAACCCTAGTGTTTGTGCAAATGCCACCTCCATAGATAGTTCCATTAAAGAAAGAGAAGTTGGTATCAGAAAAGAAACCTAATAACCCTAGTGTTTGTGCAAATACCACCTCCATAGATAGTTCTATTAAAGATAGAGAAGTTGGCATCAGTTGATTTCTGGAAGTGGATTTTCCTTCATGAGAGAAATGATCACCAGATTAGGATTATTTATATTTGCAAACTTTTTGAACGAGAAAAATAAAAAAGTTAATTTGTTAAGGTAATACAAACAGAAAACTGTAATGTTATTTGGAGAATTAATTAAAAGGCTAAATATGTAAGATATTTCCTAAATCAAACAATTTCGGGTGGTAAATTCCAAAGCTCTGAGAATGAATTCGGACCTAGTCTATTAACCCAAAATGAACACATATTTTCATGATCTTCATGTTTTTGGAAATAGAAGCATGAATAATGACATTAGGAAGTATTTCATAGACGTTGTTTTGGAATGATGCCCTCTATTGTAACATATATTTTTTTTAGGAATATTTTTTATTCGAGTAAGAGAAGGTATCCTTCAAAAAAAAAATTAACTTAAAGATATAAAGAAACTCTACTGCTTCTGCTGTGCCAGGATCAGTTTTAAGGTATTGGTCAATACCTAACTGTTATGGATACAAGAATACTCTCCAAATTGAAACCCTCAAAGCTGTAGCGCAACAGCTTAGCGGTAAGTTTACGTACTTACAGCGCTAGAATCCAGGGTTCGATTGCACGCATTGAACGAAGCACGGATATCCCATTATAGAGTTTTGTTCTAAAAAACAAGAAATACTTCAAACCTATATATCTACCAAACGTATTTATTAAAGAAATAGAATATTAACAGAACAATGTTTTTGGAGATAAAGTATTTAAAAAAAATCATTGTACATTATTATCAGATCTGTTGGTCTATTTGTCTCAAAAATTGTTACAGCTCCAGAAATTTAAATTGTAACAAAGAAGGAGACATGGAACAATAATGTTAGTAATAAAAAGCTTGATTATATTTTTTAGAAGAAGTAGGAACTGAAATGTCAAAGAAATCTATGAAGGTAATTTTATGGAGAAGCAAATTATACCACAATCAGAACATTACTGCAACCTGAATATATGTATGGAAACTTGTTTATTACTGTGGATCAATAGCAACTATATGATTATATATATTGGGATATTCAAGTCTTACTAAGATAAACCATATTTTTAAAATTTTTGAAACTTCGATGTACATTTATATCAAATTTCATAATTTTGCTGGCGAGTATATTATGATAAAATTTGGTTTGGGCCTGTTAATTCTTCTCATGTGAACAAAGGTTCCTCCAGGTTTTAGACAAGTTATCAGTTGTATCATTTGGTCGACGTTCTTTATTCATCTTTCTAGCTATTCTATACGTAATTCCATTTGTCATACGACATATGATATTTAGCGTAACAATTATGCATTTTCTTCTGATTTTTTTTCGCACTTTACTGACGAGGTACCATTTCCATCCGTTTTTCACAACTCCAATTATTTACCGACATTATCCGTGTCTTATCTATATATAATTAAAAGGTAATATTGACTGAGGCAGATAAATAATTTGTACAGTACTCTTTAATTCAACAAAAGAAATAAAGAAAATGTTTGATTCAGTAAAAGGAACCCGCGCTTTCGCAGCCTAACAGTTGCTCCACAGATTTCACATGGATGTTTGAAATTCTATTTGTTTCTCATCTGTAAAGTTTGAACTAAGTTATTAATACAATTACACATCAATTATACAAGGTCTGTAGCTTCCTATATCAATCTAATGTTCCATATGTATTAGTAAGTATCTGTTGATCTCTTTATTTCTTCAACTATCCATGTGTGTATATATATATATGATTCCATTGAGTCCTGTGTATAATATACTTTCAACTGTACTACATGTAATTGATCGCTTCTTCCCTGTGAAAATAATGTCAGTTTGCTAGTCGTTAAAGCATGTAAAAATGTTAATCAATATTGTTGATCGAATAATTGCAGTTTCTTAAGAAACTATGATCTAAGCATCTCACACAAACTTGATGTCAGCTTTCATACTTAAAACACAAAGATAAAACTGAAACTTGCGAAACGATGATCAATTATGAAATATATAAACAGAAACACTTCACTTTTTATTTTGACGAAAATGATGTTCAGAAGTTTCTTATGTTGTTACTTATTTTGTTTTATATTAAAGACTGAAGTAAAAAATATTTTTCAAATCACAAATAATGAAACAAAACTATCTTGATGCTTTCGTTAAATGAATATTTAAAAATACAATGGAGTAGATGAGTGAATATTTAAGCTGTAAGAAAATGAACATTAATCGTGATTTCAATATACTTTTATTAATATATAGATTTTTCTCGTTTTGACAGAACATAAAAATTAACTACATATAACAAACATGATTTATTTACTTCATGTGGAAACATAAATAAAGATTATGTATAATAAAGCATGATTTATTTACTTCATGTGGAAACATAAATAAGTACTATGTATAATAAAACATGATTTATTTATTCTATGTGGAAACAGAAATAAACACTATGTATAATAAAACATGATTTATTTATTCTATATAGAAACATAAATAAGGACTATGTATAATAAAACATGATTTATTTACTTCAGGTGGAAACATAAATAAAGATTATGTATAATAAAACATGATTTATTTACTTCATGTGGAAACAGAAATAAACACCATGTATAATAAAACATGATTTATTTACTTCATGTGGAAACAGAAATAAACACTATGTATAATAAAGCATGATTTATTTACTTCATGTGGAAACAGAAATAAAGATTATGTATAATAAAACATGATTTATTTACTTCATGTGGAAACAGAAATAAACACTATGTATAATAAAACATGATTTATTTACTTCAGGTGGAAACATAAATAAGGACTATGTATAATAAAACATGATTTACTTCATGACAATACTGAAAAACTCTTATATTTGTATTATATTGAACCCATTAAAGAAATGTTTAACAACTTCGAAAACACCGTCTGGATTACATATAACCTATAACCAAGCTTTTATACGTACAATATGTTTTATTTATGTATCTAAAACTTACTTCATCCTACCATAGCCATAATATAAAACAATGTAGTTACATTGAATAAGGCATAATTCTCTTTCTTGTAATAAAATATTTCAGTACATCTGAAAACGAAAGAGGGAAGACTTTCGAAACGTCGTCATTTACATTCTGTGTTTTTTTTACAACAGGCAGTTACCGTCCGCTCCAGTTTACACATCATTAATATTCTATCTAAACAGTCTATCAAAGCATTTATAAAATAGTTAAATGAATAGTTTACTAAACAAACACACACACAGATATATATGAATAAATACTAAGTTGAAAATGTTTCGAACATGTAAAAGGTGGGATTCCATTACAAATTGTCCCCTGGTGGGACAGCGGTAAGTTTACGGACTTAAAGTGTTAAAATCCTGGGTTCGATTCCCTGCAGTAGACGCAGCTTTGCTTTTCCACGAAACAAACACAAATAACAATTCAGGTTTAAAATATTTTAATCATTTATAATTTCGTTAATATCAATTTAGCAAAAAGAAAGTTAAATTAAACAACTGAATATTTCCTATGAAGTAACGTCTGTCTAAAGTAAAGTCTTGTATTTTCTACACATTGGTCCACAATACCGGAAGTTAGTGTTTTGTATACTTTTTGTGCGTCCAATAATACTAGTTTTTTTTACATTTTTAAGCTTCATTAGTTTTTTTATTATTTAACAAAAAAGTAGTCATCGTGAAGTCGAATATTTATTCCGTGAACTATTCATCTATCTGGGACCAGCTCGTCACATTATTAGTTTGTTCTTCTTTATATTGATTAGAAGTAAACGCATACAGACGTGATGTGTATGAATATCTAAACAAAGCGAAGGAACTCCACGCTACATTCTACTGCATAACGATTTGTGAAGGTCGGTAATACGAGGAACTCCAGTAACAGATAATGGCTCATAACGAATGTGATCATATAAGCATGAAGAACGAGCTTTGCTTAGATGAGTTTGATTCGAAAGTCGATATTCATTTTAAGTTCCGAATGCAAGGGTGACGAATAAGCCATATTCTGTGACTGCATTATAAAGAGTGGAAATGGCGAATCGTTCATTTGCGAAGTAATCAAAGAAACTTTTATTGATTAACGACCTTTGAGTAGCAATATATTTTTTTTTCAAAACGCATTGCCTTAAGTACGATATATTTCATCATGCAATTTCAAACAACGATCGTTAGCATGTATAGATATAATAATACTTTTGAAACACCAAAAATTCCTTTTTATTTTCATAGTTTTCCCTAAATAATAACTATGCTTTTTCGCATTTTTAGTGTCCCCGGTGGGTCAGCAGAATAAAACACCAACCAACAATCATATTTTAATGTCCCCCGGTGGGTCAGCAGAATAAAACACCAACCAACAATCGTATTTTAGTTAGTGTTCTCAACCCCCCCCCCCAGTGACATTGCAGTATGTCTGCGGACTTACAACGCTAAACACCAAGTTTCGATACCCGTGGTAGGCAGAGCACAGATAGCCCATTGTGTAGATTTGTGCTTAACTTCAAAACAAACAAAGAACTGACCACAATACTGGTAATTACAGAAGTGTTATATTAGATCCTTACATTTATAACTGTTCATGATCAATGACTATTATATGTATATATATATATAAGATAAATTTGGTACTTTAATATTTAAAGTCATTTTATTATTCTGTGTGGTACGTAACGCGTATATTTCGATGTAACTGTAAATATATTTTACATTGTCTTAAGCTTTATTTTTTATCATGTACAGAATTTTATCTGTCGGTAGCTTAGTGTTAAGCTTGTGAGCTTACAACGCTAATAATCAGGGCTTGAATTCCACGACAGCCCACTGTGTAGTTTTGCGGTCAAACACAAACAAAGTAGAATGGGTTTAATCGGCTCATTAACCAACAGGACATCGAAACGGAGATTTATGGCAGTTTTGTACGTTTTATTCGCGCATGTTTAAGTTCGTAAAGTATTAAGTCTTGGAAAATTTCTGAAGAAATTTACTATAGTATTGCAGTGTAATGATTTGTACGAACAAAATCGGTGTGTGGTAATTTTCAAAGGATATTAAACTTCGAATAAATGGAGAATAGTCGTAAGTCGTGAATGTGTCCGCATAGCAAACACATTTTTAACGTTAGTGCTCGTGATGTTGAACGCCACTTCAAACCAGTGGATGATTATAAGGAGTCAGTCCGCATAGCAAACACATTTTTAACGTTAGTGCTCGTGATGTTGAACGCCACTTCAAACCAGTGGCTGATTATAAGGAGTCAGTCCGCATAGCAAACACATTTTTAACGTTAGTGCTCGTGATGTTGAACGCCACTTCAAATCAGTGGATGATTATAAGGAGTCAGTCCGCATAGCAAACACATTTTTAACGTTAGTGCTCGTGATGTTGAACGCCACTTCAAACCAGTGGATGATTATAAGGAGTCATTCTTAGTACAATAGTCTCATATTTCTCCTATAATAACATTTGTGGGAGGCCTCGTGGAGTCACTCTTAGATAATGTTATATTTCCCCTATAGTAGTATTTGTGGGAGGCCTCGTGGAGATACTCTTAGTACAATAGTCTCATATTTCTCCTATAATAACATTTGTAGGAGGCCTCGTGGAGTCACTCTTAGATAATGTTATATTTCCCCTATAACAGATAACATGTATTTCCACATTCTATGTTTGAATTGTTTTCGTGTAGCCACAAACTTCGACAACAAATTGTTCATAAGTAGATTGAGCGTCATGTATTTAAAGATCTCAGATGGGAAATAAAAAAGCCCCTGTAACAGGGCACATTTCTATTCTTTTGTAGATTTTGGCTTCAATTCCATACTGTTGCCTGGCTTAGTTACCATGGTATTTTGTATGGTAACTGGAAATAGTAGTCACCTACAGTTGGCTGGCTCAGTTACCGTGATATTTTGTATGGTAACTGGAAATGGTAGTCACCTACAGTTGGCTGGCTCAGTTACCGTGATATTTTGTATGGTAACTGGAAATGGTAGTCACCTACAGTTGGCTGGCTCGGTTTCCATGATATTTTGTATGGTAACTGGAAATGATATCCCTACAGTTGGCTGGCTTAGTTACCGTGATATTTTGTATGGTAACTGGGAATGATAATCATCTACAGTTGGCTGGATCGGTTACCATGATATTTTTTATGGTAACTGAAAATGGCTAGACAGTGTGTGAGTTACTTTGTTTAGTACTTTTGTCCGAGAGGGAGGATTAAAAAAAATACCCTGAAATAAGACACATTTTCACTTTTTTACAGACCTTTACCGTTTAATTTAAAGACACAAATACAAAATTAGTTGAATTTGTCAATTTCAACCTTCCACAAAGCAGGGTATATAATTAGTACCTAATGAGGTCATTAGAGAGATAATAACAATAGAATAAGGAAAGGGGAACATTATCAAGCATTGTCCTATATATAATTTTTCATTCTTAAGGAGTACCTTAAGCTATTTTCACTAAATAAAAGTCTGTAAGTGAATAATAAAAATATATAGATACATTTTCAGACATTGTAACAGATATCCAGTGCATAACCTCAAAGTTATGCTTCGTGAGTGCCCATAAAGCCATTTGTTAACGTTTGAATGTTAAGTTAGGAGAAAGAAAACTGAGTTGCATATGTGATTAAATTATAATTAGGTTCTAAAATGAAGTTTATGTAATTAAACACAGCTTACATCGTTATCCAAGAAACAGTGAAAAGACATGAAGCGTATTTGTATTTTTTTATTTCTAGAAACATTAAAGAAAAAACTAAGAGTTCTTAATCTATCAGAAATCTCTTCCAAGTAAACTAGATCCTTTGTTGCCTATATTTGTTTAAAAGGTGAGAAACATGTACGTAACATCTTAAAGTGCATACCTTTGTTGCCTATATTAGTTTAATAGGTGAGAAACATGTACGTAACATCTTAAAGTGCATACCTTTGTTGCCTATATTAGTTTAATAGGTGAGAAACATGTACGTAACATCTTAAAGTGCATACCTTTGTTGCCTATATTAGTTTAATAGGTGAGAAACATCTACGTAACATCTTAAAGTGCATACCTTTGTTGCCTATATTAGTTTAATAGGTGAGAAACATGTACGTAACATCTTAAAGTGCATACCTTTGTTGCCTATATTAGTTTAATAGGTGAGAAACATCTACGTAACATCTTAAAATGCATACTTGAAAGCATTGAAAGTATGACTATAATGAAAAAATTATTCATTCTAAATTAATTTTCATCAAAAGAAAAGAGGCGTCTTCTAATCATGGTTTAAATATCATGCGATATAAAATAACAACGTATCGTTTACACTTTAAACTCTACTATATCATATTGTAATTTTTTTAAAACAAGAGTTCAAATAGACTACCTGATAGTTTATTTGGTAGTGTGTGGATCAGTAAAGCGATTCATCTAGTATTAGAAAACATAAAAGAACAAAGGGAGCTGAAGAGGAGTTGTACAATCTTATATGCCTTTCTTCAGGAAATTATTTTATTATTATAGTTCTTATTTTGATAATTTATCATCTGTAAATTTGTAGCACACTCGAATATGTTATGTGTGATAATGCATTCATAATATTAATTGTTCCATACAAGAAAAAAAAGTTATATGGAAAATATTTTTCAAATTTAATAGTGAAAGAGTTTTAAAACTAAAATTGTTTTTGTTTGATAAATGATAAAAAAAACAACTGGATAAAATCTTAATTCTTTAACCTTATGATATTAATTTGAGCTAAATTAAGTAAGAGTAAGATACTTAACTGATTTATTTTAGTTTGTGAATTTTTAAAACAGACACTAAAGGACCTACAGAGTTTCTTCAAGGCAATGGTTATGATCAAACGAGTCCTCTTTCAGTATTTTTTTAATATTTTTTTAACGAGAGTCATTTAATTTCGATAGCGTATTAATTAGCTATTATTACCTTAGCATTTTTTTTTTTCAAAACTTAGTACGATTGGAATTGAGACGATTAATAGAAAGATTATTTTAACCACAACTTTAACTTACTGGTACTGTTTCATTTAACAGCCGTTCAATGTAAAAATTTTACAGCTTTATTTGTAGTTTTTCACTCATTAATTATTAGCTGATTTACAGTTGCAGAAGCTTACATACAAGGTGGTCCGAAAATCATTGTGGAGAAAGATAGTTCAATCGAACTCACCTGCGTTATTAGAAACAGTCCCGATCCTCCTACTTTCGTCTTCTGGTATCACAATAATCGAATGATAAACTATGACTCGGCTCGTGGGCACATTTCCGTTAAAAAGGCGGAAGGTAACACAGTGATAAGTAAACTCCATATCAAAGATATTGGAAAATCAGAAAGCGGTAATTATACCTGTGGACCATCGAATGCTAATCCTGCAAGCGTCTCTCTTGTTATATCAAATGGTAAGTGAACAGTCTATTAACTTTTCAAAATAATTATTAATGAAAAATTGTTGAACATGATCACAGTAATCCTTCTCTTTCATGTACTAATCCAAATCATATAGAAGACACAGTGTAAAACGATAAATGTTTTAGATAGTAAATGTGTTTATAATAATGTCTTTTTGTTTGTTTTTAAGCCAATCCTTTTTTATCTAAGTGATGAAACTATCCTGAATATTCAAAGCGGTTCCACTAGACATTTAAAATTACAGTTTATTAATATATAATGATTGAAAATATGTACAGGAGATTCTAAATAGGAAGAATAAAAAAATAGAGTCAAAGCGATTATTGATATGTCTAAACACTTTATATGTATCGCAGATAGTAAATACTTTTATCAGTTTTTTTTTTTACGTGAAGTGATTTTAAGGCTTGAAAAAAAATATCCACAATCAATGGGACATAGCGAGTTAGATATTAAAACAAATAGTTAAATACAAAATACACTTCTGACCCCAAGCTGCTTTTTTTTCTTAAAAGTTTTGCTAATTCAAGTTATATTATCGATGCATCGTTAAAACACTATCTTTCTACATCTAATAGTGCATTTCTTGGTGGATATAGTTGTAATAATAACATGTCATTCGCATAATACACGACGTACAGAAACCACTGACGAGGACACAAACTGATTTTCATAACGTATCACAGAGTTTTTAACTTATGTTTTAACTATTTGTTTGTCTGGTGTATCAATAATTGTAATTTGAAGCTACGTTTCCCAGACTTTCATTATATCTATATATTGTAATTTAATACTATTATAAATTCAGTTGACGATAACAAGTCTTCAACCATTGTTAACATTCACATGAAGGACTTAAAACAATACAATCCATCATTTGTTCAGCATCAAGGGAGATTGTTAAATCTAATATTTGGATCAGGTCAAACTACTCGAATAATTAGAAACTTGAAATATAAGATCAATATTTAAGTCTGTAGAAAGGGATATATATATATATAGTAGCCAGGGAACAAACATTGTTATATATATATAGTAGCCAGGGAACAAACTTTGTTTTATATATATATAGTAATTATAAACAAATTACGATTTTACCTTGTATTTTAAAAATTATAGAATAATATTTAGCTAAACTGATTATGCTATTTTTAGAAATAAACGCAACACGATTTAAACATAAAAGAATATAATGTCTTTATCTGAATTATTCAAAAACATATATCTAGAAAAAAAAAATTACAGTGAATTTAGAAACACTGATTTCCAATTGTGTTCAGCAACGTTCAGTATTGAGAGTTATTGTTTGATTTCCATTGTGTTGAGCATCGTTCTGAATTGATAATTATTGTTTGATTTCCAATGTGTTCAAAAACGTTTTGAGAATTATTGTTTGATTTCCATTGTGTTGAGCAACGTTTTGAATCGAGAATTATTGTTTGATTTCCAATGTGTTCAGCAACGTTCAGTATTGAGAATTATTGTTTGATTTCCATTGTGTTGAGCAACGTTTTGAATTGAGAATTATTGTTTGATTTACAATTTGTTCAGCAACGTTCAGTATTAAGAATTATTGTTTGATTTCCAATGTGTTGAGCAACGTTCAGTATTGAGAATTATTGTTTGATTTCCATTGTGTTGAGCAACGTTCTGAATTGAAAATCATTGTTTGATTTCCAATGTGTTCAGCAACGTTCTGAATTGAAAATTATTGTTTGATTTCCATTGTTTTGAGCAACATTCTGAATTGAAAATTATTGTTTGATTTCCATTGTGTTCAGCAACGTTTTGAGAATTATTGTTTAATTTCCATTGTGTTCAGCAACGTTCTGTATTGAGAATTATTGTTCGTTTTTTTATATAAATGATTTAGTTGATTTAGGTTTAAAAAGCTCAGTTTATTTATTTGCAGATGATAGTGTTATTTCTAGTAATTACTAAGATAGTAAAAACAAGGAAGGTAGCTAATATGTATCTAAACAGCCAGAATTAATTTGACTGGATGTCCCAAATACATCAATGGCTGAAGAGTGGTAATTACAATAACACCCAACTACTAAATATTTTGCCATGAAAAGAGCATCCACTATAAAATATTTACAGGGTAGAAAAATTTTAGACGACGTTTACATAGAAAACTCATAGATAAGATATGTTTAACACATTCAAAATTCCTTCCATCAAGAATATGTAAATTACTTTGCTACACAACATAGGAGACAATAATTAGTTATGGATTATCTATTCACGGGAGAATCTATGATTGTTCCATCAAAATGCTTTTACTAATCATTAGGAAATTGTAAAATGATCTGTCATAGATTACATTAGAGGTAGTTTGATAAATCTGACTTCAACATTACAGTATTACTTGTTATGGACTTATATAAATATATTGTAATAATGCATAATTTGGATAGCGACCAATTTGAATAAAATATTGTTTATTCTACCTCAATTATAGTAAAACTAAAGGAAACATAGAGAACCTGTCATATTATAAGAAAACAGTTATGGTATCAAACATAAACAAGTTCCTTGTATAGAACCTGTCATATTATAAAAACAGTTATGGTAATAAATATATAAAACAAGTTACCTTGTATAGAACCTGTCATATTATAAGAAAACAGTTATGGTAATAAATATATAAAACAAGTTCCTTGTATAGAACCTGTCATATTATAAGAAAACAGTTATGGTAATAAATATATAAAACAAGTTCCTTGTATAGAACCTGTCATATTATAAAAAAACAGTTATGGTAATAAATATATAAAACAAGTTCCTTGTATAGAACCTGTCATATTATAAAAAAACAGTTATGGTATCAAATACAAACA